TATTGTTTTTTTTAACTATCGATTATTAAAAATTAAAATTTCACATTGAAAATTGCATATATATTTTTAATTTATTAATATGTTAATTTTTTCTTTTATTTCCTTTATAATGTAAGTTTGCATTTATATTTCTCATCTTGTTAACAAAAACTAAACACCCTAAATACCTTGTATGATATCGAAAACTGAAGTTTATTCAATATACATTTATATATAAACGTTACACAACAATATGAATTAATAGTCAATATAATAATATTTTTAAATATATTATACTTTAACTTGAAAAATATATAATATATAAAAAAATAAAATTTGAATTTAGTTTTCAATATAAATAAATACTTGTTGTTAATTTAAATTTGATTATTTTTTAATATTTAAGATATAGCATGTTAATATTTAAAATGTATTTTCTTTTTTATCTTATTAACAATACTGGGTTATTACATATTCCCTCCTGTCTTTATTATAAGGCAAACTTTTGAAAAAAATAGTTTTTAAAATAAATATTTAACAATTTCAATATTTGTTTTTTAATTTTTTTCTTCGTATGTCTCAACTATAATAGAATGCTAAGGGAGTATTACTTTTCATATTATTCATCTTATTATTAAATTAAAAAAACTCTTTATATTTTAATCTATTATAGATATTTATTATTCCATCAAATGTTTATTTATAAATTATTTCAAAATAAGGGAATAAAGTAGAATATTTTGATAAAAAATCATTTATAATATCTAAAATACAGAATTCCTTTCAAATATTTTAAGCATCTAAATGATATTTTTCATACTATTTATCTTGCTCTTTAAATAAAAATGTTTATATTTTTAATATATTTAAATATATTTATATTTGTACTGATCCGTTAAATAATTTATTTATTTAGTATACAAAAATAAGAGAAGAAAGTAGAAAAGAGTAATTAAAAATATTTATTTTATCTAAAATACTGAAATCTTTTAAAGCATTTAAAAGTTGTTATACCATTACGTCATTTTAATCTATTAATAAATGAAAATTTTAAGGTATATATAAGGATAACATGGATAAAAACTTCTCATTATATCTTATTATTAATTTATATAAAAATAAATAATTGACACTATTACTCTAAACATTTTAGAGTTTTAAATTGTTAACCTTAAATCTTATATTTTTTTATGATCTGTCATGAACTAGAATTACTTAGGGTTAATTTGTTTACAAATATCAACGGCTTATTTGATTAATTATTTAAAAATAATTTTTGAAAAATAGTTTTTGAAAAAAAAATTGAAAAAACAAATGTAGAAATATTATTTATAAAAATTATTTTAAAAGATAAAATAAAGACATAGATATAAAAAACGTGACAACGATTTAAAAAAAAACTGAGTAATTTAATATAATTATTAATAAAGATGTTATTATTTATTAATAAAAATAAAAGTTTAAAACGAAAAATATTTTTATCAGTTTTATTTTTTAAAATTTTAAAAACTTAGAAAAATTAGAAGCTTTATTAAAAAATGTTTATTAAATAAATTTTATAATTTTCAAAAACTACAAAACTAAAAATTATTTTTAAAAATAATAAATAAACAAACATTAGAATTTAGGTTTGCAAAACATTGCAATTTGATTTAGGCCATGACATATTATTCGTCAAATCATTTTAAGAAAAACATTAAATTTACTCTAGCAAATACATTTATTATTTAAAAGTACAAGTATTAAATGCTTCTTTAGTAAAAAAAAACACACACACACATTTTTCATCTGTTAGACAAAGGCACTAATATTTATGATTAAATAATCAGAAACACTAATACAATTTATTTAATGCTTAACAATATATGTTTAATGAGTAGACTTAATCATAAAAAAGAAAGGAAAGAGAATAAGAAAGAATACACGTAAGATTCTAAGCATGAGGAAAATATTTAGAGAAAAGATAGACATAAAATGAGTGGGTCACACTCACACCATTATTCTTTCCAGATGTCTCTCTTGCATAAGGTTGGTTTCTTCTTCTGAATTTGGATCGACATTAATTGGTGAGCCAAAGCCACGCCATAATTTCACGTTCAGATTCCAAACCCCACTTTTGTTGTCGAAAGACACACAGGGACACATGCAACGAATCCCTCCTTAAGTTAAACCAAATGAAAATGACTTTCTTGGCTCTCAAATATTAAATAGGTTCACTACTTCATACATTTTTGTTTCAGTTTATTCAAAATTTCATCACGGTGGTTAAATAGTAAATTTCATCACCGTGTATCTGACAAGGTGAAGAAAACAAACAAAAAATAGAAGCAATGCTTTTTTTGACTAATATGGCTGCTATTAATTCATTTCACCAACTTCTTATCCATTTGTCCCATGCAAATATGGAAAACCCATCATTTTGGTTCTTTGGAACGATATAGTCCTTCATCATATATATACTTTAACTTTTATCAAAACCTCAAATTTACGTTTATTAAAACTACACTATTACCTTATTTTTCATAGCTGCAGAACAATCTATGTAGTGGTAACTTAGTTTGAACTCTTCGCAACCATGTGGTGTTAATGTGACTTAAGGATTTACATGCTACTTTTTTTTTTGAAGTGTTGTCATCATCTTATGCGAGTCTTATGTAGGAACTATTCACTTTGGAAACAAGGATACAAGTTTAGAATCACCGAGTTGGGAGCAAAGGGGAGTATGCTTTTTTTCCCTTTTTTTACTAATAATAATAACCTCACAGGTGATGATGAGTGGTGGGATTAAAGAAAAACAGAAAAAGGAAGCGGGGGGAATGAAAATAAATGAGAACACATGGAGGGTTTAGAAGTGTTGAAGGAGAAGATAGAGTCAAAAATAGGCAAAATACGAATTGAATGAATGTGAAGTATGGAGGAAGCATCAGTTGTCTTGTTTTGGTGACTTGCGCTTTGACAGAATCGTAGTCCAACAACATTCCAAAACCACAACCAATAAATAAAGTCGTCCTTCCTTACGTAGCGTTCAAACACAGCCTTAGGTTTGAGGTGGAGGCTCCATCCGTAACACCCTTTTTTAATCTTTCTTCCTTCCTTTGGTTGCCCTTTTCTTTTCAAACATGGAACCCAAATTTCATATTCACGCATAGACATAAACGCTGTACCTAGCAAGGAACATACATTCTTGCCCATCAACTTTCTTCTTTAATCCATATATTCAAAATAAAAACATTCATTAGGCTCTCTGTTTGGTACTGCATGCTCTGTTTCTACGCCACCAATAATAATTGCCACCATTCTTCCTTCGTCAACAAATACCCATGGTTTCTAACTAGTAAATCAAAATTAGATAAACATTTGTGTCACTATGCGCCCAACACATGTGTGATATGATGGGATGGTGCATGCCACTGCCCCATTTCGTTTCGATTCTCTCCTTCTCTCCATTCATGCTTCGCTACCTTCCTTTATAACACCCACCCCTCAACTAAGTCTTACAAAAAATAATAATCTTTTTTGTGACTTCAAAATTGTCTCTTGCCTTAACTATGCCACATCTTTTTATGACTTTGACCTATCACTGCTATTATTATTATTATTATTATCATTCACGGAAATGTTAGTTTCTTTACTTTATCACTGATTTTCATTCTAATCTTTATTTCAACTGCACCTAAAAGACAGTTAGTTTCGTTACTACTTAATTCACTTTTGGTGAATCTTTTGGATGTCACGTGAAGTTTACAAATTTCCACGAGTTGTTTTGTTTCATGTAATGTTTAAAAAGGTAAAATAAATCTTACCTCATCATTCTTACAAACTTGTAGAACCTACTAAGTTGAAATTAAAAAAGAAAAAGAATGGTGAATAAAGAGTAAATTGTTGATTGAAGAAAAGGTTAAAGAGGCATATGGTGATGGTGTGAGGCGGAATCAGGTGTTGTTTTCGGAGTGAAAACCATAGATGCCGCTGCCTTCAAATCAATCATCATTCGCCAACTTGGTGTGGGTGGATTCCTCAGCTTTATTTGTTCTTTACTTTTAGCTGCCCCTAGCCACCCATTATAAGTTTAAGTTTCAATAATACCAAATAATATATTTTAATAATTAAGAGTTTCTTTAAAAACAGCAGATATTTAATATGTGTATTTTAATAAAAAATTAAATAATCTCGTATCAAACAATTTTTTTAATTCCTTAACATGACGTTAACCTAGTTTTGACTAGTTTTTTTCATTTTTACCGCTTTTAAACTACTTTAGTTAAAGATGAATTTTATAACACAAACAACATTAAAAGCTAGACGAGTTCATTGATTTTTTTTATTGAAACCGTTAGTCAAATTCAATTCTGATAATAAATATATAAACTAAATAAAAAGAAATAGAACAAATAACAAGGATTTATTTACTGTCAAAAATAATTTTAATAAAATTAGTTTTTAAACATTAAACATATTTAAATATATCATAAAAATTATATTAAAATGTGAATTAAGTTAAAAAATAATTTAAAATATATAAAATTCAAACAAGTTGATAAATGGGGGAGTCCATTTCCTTCCCTCAGCTTACAGAAACAATTATCTCCTGGTCATCTTGTGTATTAGATTAGGTTAGTACATATCATTATTCAACAACTCCAACAGAACCTTAGTTTAATAAATGATTACTAGTATTGCGTATTATTTATTATATAAGAAAAGATAGATTATAAAATGTACAAGAAAGAAAGGGGAAAAAACAGGAATTAATGCTCCCTTTTATTAATATAATGATAATTCTCAGTTTAACTAATAAATATACCTATTCTTACAAAAGGAAAAAACCAATATAAAGTTTATAACGCAAAAATTAATTAATCTTTTCCTAAGAAAAAAATAATTGACACCCCCGGCAAGCCTTGTAACGGTTTTTTCTTGGTTCTACTAAGAACCTTTGACTTTTCCTTGCCAAAGTTTTCTATTTACATTTCTACCACCAACAAAAACGGATATCTCCATTCATCACTGTTTGAATAATACTATTCCGCCACCACTCTCACAGTAGCAGGTAGCCACTCTTGGGAGCCTCGGCGATCGGAGTAGCCATCATCTTCAAGCCTAAACAGCATAGAAGAAGACTCACGGTCATGCGTACTTGAATTCAAGTTCTTTTTCAGTTGGTGGAAACTTGGAACCAACACTTTTTCCATCCATTCATCAATGGTAGTTTGGCCTAACCACACTCCGCTGGTGATCTTGTCAAGAGCATCTTCTTGCACTTCAATGGACAGCCCATTCCCGACAACTGCGGAGAACCTTTTCGTGATAGATACGGAAAAATTCCTGCGAATGAGATCAAAGTTCAAGGGCTTAAAGACAATGGCGTCGTCCACAGAATCCACAAGCTCGCGTGGTACTGTTGAGAGCGACCTTCCTCCATCGTGATTGTTGTCTTCATGTTCCACTGTGAAGTCACTTGAATTAAGTGACCCGTCTCCCCTGTCGTCCTCTGCAGCATCAGCAGCTTCATTAAGATCAAACGATAGACCTGTATTCACCTCTTTCCGGGGCTTCAATGACCTGTCTTCATCGGATAGCCAACTGGGTCTTCGTTTTGATGCTCTCTTACCGACTGATATGCGTAGTTGCCACCCTCCCTTCGCTAAATTTTCAAGCTTCTCTTCGTCCAATGGAGACCCATTGGAGAGGTATCTGAGGTCCTCTGGCAACCCATTTGCTGTGAGGATGAACATGACATTCCCGAGACTGAATTCACGGCCGTGAGAATCCGGGAACCGGCCTTGTTCCACGGCTCTTCTTATGCTCCCGCGAAGAAGGATGTTGGCTTCATCAATATCCTCAAGCACGATTACAGAAAGTGGGTTCCTTCTGATGGCCTCCGCTATTCGATCGAGTGCTGTTTTTCCACGGACATGAGGGGCATCAGAGTCTCCTCCATCCCCACGGCGTTGAGCCAGAGGTATTATTATTGGGTTGGACCCAGATACCAGCTCAGAAAGAGCTGCTGCCATTTTCTTCTTGCCAATTCTGTCAGGACCCACGAACAGTAACCACGTGTCACCTTTGGAGCGCCTTTTTCCATTGCCCAATTTGCACTGGGTCACTGTAGTGGCCACTGCTGATGCTGCATCCTGCTGCCACCAGACCTTTTCTGTCAGGCCTTTCAGGAGCTTCTTGAAAGAGTCCGCATCAAGAAGCTTTTTGCTCTGTAATTCATCGAACTTGTCTTGTGACTCAGAAGAGAGGCAGCTCAAGAAATCATTGATGCCTTCTTTCTGTGTTTCTTCTGGAGTGGCATCAGCTGGCTTTGTTTGTCCAAGGACCAGGTCGGTCCTTACCGGACTTTTCTGGGGACTCACTGCACGCTCTGGTGTGTGGATTGGCATTGGATTTGAACTCAATTGCAACGAGGTTCCCAAATTTTTATTCAAAGGTAATTTGGGTTGGAATTGGCGTGCCAGCAAGTTCATATTGTATAGGCCAGTCATTGACAAAGGAGCTGGAACAAGTCTCTCTGTGCTCACATTTAGCTGATGAAATTTAGGATGTAAACTCGAGCAGGCATCACGCCATTTCTTTTGTATTTCTTGAGTCCTCTTCTTCACATTCACTTCTTGACCATTGCTCTATTTACAATACAAAGGAATACAACAATTAGAAGACATGTCCTATTTTCTACGAAACCAACCAAATAACCAATGTAATTGTTTTTGTCAAATTCACCTGAGCCTGATCCATTACTTTGCCGTTATCATTATTAGTTTTAGCATTCTGTAACCACTGAGGAAGGGACGGTTTAGCTGCCTCTGATTTGAGTTCAGTATCTGATTTCTCAGTTTCTTTCAACATTTCTGCCACTTCTTGCTCGCAGTCCTGCATACATTGCGGGCAACAAATTGATACAGCCGCAGGATCTATGTTCTCAGAGGCACGCCTCAGTGGAGTGATTGCTGTAGTAGGCAAGGTCTTCAACGGGGACAAAGACTCGATCGAAGTTCCAAGAATACCATTGGTCCCAAGCCTGGTTTACAAGTAAATAAAACGGTCACACCACACGGTAATAGCAAATGCAGGGAACAGAATAACCGTGTTCCAGATCACAGCCTAATCAAGCTAACAGTGCTAAGGTAGACAAAAAGCTAAAAATCCTCCTGTCTTAAATTACTGTCAACAGAAACAGAAACATCACACGTTCTACAATCAAAATGTCATACAAGGGAGTTCAAGCAAGCTACTGACTGGTAAACAAAAATCGAAAAAAAAAAAAAAAAAAAAAAACAGAATCAAATCAGAGTGACAAGATTTATTCACCAACTGCAATCCCAAGTTTAACTCATTCCATGAAAGAAAACTCGTTAACTCCATTTCATCAAACATGAAAAACTAATCTTAATTATTTAATCTGATCTTGCAACTGAATAACCAGAGAAACAAGATTTTGGCAAGACTGAAATAATAAAAAAGGATTAAATTCGATGAAGGTTCTTTCGTGATCAAAAGATGATATGCATTATTAAATTGGTGGAAGCAGAAAAAAAAAATACCTGGGAAAGATCCCAGGGAGAGGGGCTCTGGTGGTAATTGGCACTGCCTGAAGATCCCAATCATTTTCCATGTTAGGATGATAAACCTGACACCTCAAGTAAGTCTCACAAGTAGCAGTACCTAAGAGCCAAAGCCTACCAGCGCCACCTTCACCGAACTTGCTCACCAACCTCCCCATCTCCGCCACCGCCGGCCGGCCGGCCTCCGCGAGCGTGAGTTGCTGCATATTACCCAAACCACCACCAACGGCAAACCCAACAGGTTGCTCCACCAGCCACTTCAAGTCACCCAAGTCAACGAAAACCCCTCCACACCCATAATTCCCAATCCTCGTTTCAATCAAATCCCCCAACTCCTTCAATCTGGCAGGTATCTGCGCCTTATCAGAAGGAAGCTCCTTTTCTAAATGAATCACGTGAGCATTCGCGAAAGCCCCATCTCCCAATTCCTTGTTCTCAATCTTCTTTATCACCTCCTTGATCGTAGCCTCGGGCTCCGATTCCCCCACCAAGATCGGGTTCCTCTTCTTTGACCTCAGCAATATATCCACAATTCGTTTTGCTTCATCGCCCCTGTGCTGCGCAGCACTACCCTGCTGCTGCTGCTGCTGCTGAAGACGCGGGTTCAGATACAAATTCCGCCCGGTGGCAGAATTCGCCGGAGCCACCGCGCTAGGCCGGAATCCCAATCCGGAATTGACGGTGGAGGGGACGGCGTTAAGGGACTGTTCGATGGTGGCTTTAACGGCGGGGCTGGAGAAACTGGCTTCTCTCATGACCCTGCTCACGCTGGGGTCGTCGAGAATGGATATGATTAACTGCTCGAGCTCTACTTTGACGGCGAGGAGAGGCTGTTGCTGCTGCTCCGGGTAGCCGCGGCGCTGGTGAGCCTGGGCCCTCTTGAGGGCCGCCATCAAGGCATTGGAGATTGGCGGCTCCATGGAGGAACTGGTGTTCTGCGAAGTAGGCAATCGCTCCAGAGCCACGCTGAAACATAGCTCCAGCGCTCTGCACTGAAGGGGGTGAGACGAATTGGGGTGCGATTTTATGCAGGCCTGACGGAGAAACCCCGAGGGGGAGGCCAGCAGCGTCGCCGCCACGTGGAGCGGCGTGGTCTGGCCGTGGTTCCGGCGGCCGGCCTCCGCGATTGAGTGATTGAGAACGCTGGCCGCCTCCGGCGTTAGGGTTTGCTGGATGGTGCTTAGTCCGGCTCTCATTTCACGACTGGAATTGAATTCTGTTGTGTTGGTGAGGCTCCGGCGAAAACAAAAGTGGGGGTGATTTGATTTGGTTTGGCTTGGCTCAGATTGGATTGGATTGGATTTGATTGAATTGTATTGGATGAAGAAGGGTGAGGAGGAGGAGAGAAGGAGGAAATGGAGAATGAATATGAATGTTATCGGAGGGGTTGCCTTTCTGCGGGGGTACTCGCTTTGCTTGACTTTATGGGAGGAGAAAAAAAAGAAGAAGAAAAAAAAAAAAAAGAGGAATGTGTGTGAAACTTACACTTGGGTTCTAAGGCTATTGAGCCCTGAGTAGAGGGAGAAAACGAAATTAGTGTGTGGCGAGATAAGATAAGAACACTTCAATATAGACAAATTCACATTTTCAAGGGTGGTAGGAACAACTGGATGGGTTGGCAAAACAATCAAACACAAGCTTTTTACTTTACAAACACAAACAAAATCAACACACTAATACTAATACAATACAATACAATACAATACAATACCCACCCCTACTAGCTACCCTGCTTTCTCGCTTCCTTCCCTTTAAGCTTCCTTTCCCATGGGATCTATCTATCTATTCTCTTTCTCTTTCTATCCTCCGCCTAAAAAGCTATTTCGAATTCAGAATTCAACGCGAAAAGGAAATATCAGATCCCCCCCTTTCCTTCACCTTTCTCCCTTCACAACATCCCCCGTTCTCTTCTCTCTCCTCTCCTCTCCTCTCCTTCCATCTCAAACAATAACAAATCTGTCCCCAGGAATAAATTTGTCCACATACATACATGCATGCGTGAGGGGCGGTGAATATAAAGCTATTTCCTTTTTCATCACCTAAGCAAACTTAGCTAATTAATCTCACCGTATAGGAATATTATTCTATTCTAATTCTCATTACCCCTGCACTACAGACCAACAAGGTAAAGCAGAGAAAAATAAAAATTATAAAAATAAAATAAAAAAGTTGGTTTCTTTATTGTGGGAAGAGAAAGACACGGAAGTAGAGAGAATTTCTAGTAAACTGAGAATTGATGGATGGATGAAAGTAGTACTATCGGTTGCAAGGATTTCTGGAAAAAAATGCTTTGTGGACAGAGCAATCTGCCCTCCTTTTTGTGTCATCTTTTTCCTCTCTTTTTATTATTATTATTATTATTATTATATCCTTCATTAATTTATTCATTTCAGACTTCTCTTTCAATATTTCTTGTCTGCATTTTCTATAATTCAATTTAAAGGGTAATTTGTCTCGACTCAACAGATTAGTTATTGTATGATGGAGCAAGCCAAAACACCTTTTTTGCACAACAGGGATATCAATATTATATTCTTCATTACCCTAATATATTTCAAACTGAGTACAATATATTTGATTAACAATTAAGGATTTATATTAAAGTTTTTATTACAAAATAATTAATTAAAATATATGTATTATATTAGACAGCAATGTCTGGTAAAACAATACTACTACTCATTGGATAGAGAAATGTAAAAACTAAAAAGAAAGATGATGATGATGGGAGAGATAGTGAGGACTGGGGTGAGGTCTTGGGAGTTTGGATTGACTGCCTTTTTAGTTTTTATCTCTCTCACTTTCTCTTTCTCTCCCATTGATTTTGTTTTGTTTTGATGCTAGTTTGTTAAAACTGTAACAAAAAAGATTAAGTGTGTGCAAGAGTCCCACTCGTGCAATGGAAGGTTGAAGGCACGAGCCAAAAGACATTGGACACATAGAGTGAGTGGGGCCCTTACGCGCCTGGGAAATGTGATTGTAACTGCTGCTGTCTCAATCCTCAATTTTGCCTTTCAACCAATTTTCTGCTTTTCACACGCAACACCTACAAAAGGTATCTCTCCACTTTCACCTTTTCATACTTAAATTACTCTCTCTCTCTCTCTCTCTTACTTTATCTCAAGTCCAAGGGTACGTGATCGTTTGGCAAGTTACCATTACCGCATCCAAACACACCCACCTATTTCTTAAGCTAATCCTAATTAATTAATCCCCGCTATTATTCTAAACTTTTCCAGTCATTCGCTTCCTACTATAAAAGTCACTACTCCACACTAATCTTATATCTCATAAAAGGAATTTTTTTTAATATAGTATTAATTAAATTAACATGATTAATGCTTTCAATACATAAGATTATTTCATATTTTTATAATTAATTAATTGTAAGAATCTTAATAAAATGTGAGAGAAATTAAAACTATTCCGCATTACTTTAAAAAATCGACTTTATGCAAAAACTATTTTTCAAATGTGTTGCCAATTAATGAACGAGTACAAGCCATTAAAGTGATCTTGTCATGAGGTTCAGATTCAATAAACTCTACTTCGGAATCACGTTGTTGCATGACTTCATGTATCTTTGGCGATGGATGGACCATTCACACACGCACATACTCACTTAGAGTTTTACCACCATCTGCTTACCTTTCGATTTCAACTTAATAAACACAATGAATCTGGACCCTCGCCTGCGACTTTTGATTAATCCCTTATAGGTTTTAGTCATTAAAAGTAAAATGATTTATTCTCTTCGTAATAATAACACTGATTTTGAAGAAAAGTTGTAATCTGTAAAAAAGGATAATGAAAAAAAAAATGTTTTAAACAGAAGAGTGTTATTTATTTACTGGTGTGAAACAGAAAATGAGTTAATAAGAGAGGAAGAGAAAGAACAATAAATGCATTGAAAATGGTTGAGGCCTAACCTTCCCAGGCCACAGCCGCCCAATAATATCTGGCATTAAATTCAGTGGACAAATTCAACTTGGTTTTATATGGACCGACCTTCATTCAATCCGATAAATAACAATCTTCTTTAAAGAAGAAAACGACCTCGTATAACACCTTCTTTTCATTTTTAACTTCCTACATACCAACTTCCAAAACCAAATATCAAATACAAATAATTCAAACCACACCACACAGCACACTCTTCAAATTATCAAAACATTTTTCTTCAGAGTAACCGCTGTTTAATATTTCGTATAATAATTAAGGGAATAACTAAAATATAAAATGTAATCATGTCTTCAAAATAACGTTCCCATGTACTTTACTTAACAGAGATGTATAAAATAAAAGAACATTGTTCACACCTTATACGTATATGGGATCATTAATTCGTATGTATAAGGAAAAGTTATTCTGCATTGAGTACGGACACCCCCTTTACGAAATAAAAACATAAAAGTGTATAGCTGATTAATGGTACAAATTAAATATACAAGATCTTGAATCAATAATTGTTCCATTAACGTACTTTAACACACAAGAATCACTTAACAAGAGGTTCTATATATATTAAATAAAAAAGTTAAAATGCTCGACGTCAGTTCTAGTAATTAATGTTAAGTAATTAAAAACGGCAATATTTAAAAACAAAATTTAAAGAATTACTGAAATAGTGCGTAAAAAATAATTAAAAAGGGAGAATTGTAGATAAGAAATAATAAGGAGTGCTCTAACACTAATGATAAATGTGATTATGGGAGTGTGAGGGAGGGGAAATGAAGATAAATAAATAAATGAATAACAATAGAAGAGCTTTTGGGATTCCCAACTTTATATGACAGAGAGTAGCTTAGCCACAGACACACCAAACAACTTTTTAAGAAAAGCTTACAGAAACCAAAAAATAATGAATCATCATAGTTCCTTTTTGTAACGCACGCCCTCCACCCCCTACTTTTTTTTCTTTTTTTTTTACCTTTCTCTTTCTCTCTTGCACTTTTCGCGTTTTTCGAGTTCACAACTACTTCAACCTTTATACGCACCCACCCCTCACTTCTCTCTCCTTATTTGTCTTTTTTTCACAGCCTTTGCTTCCTCCGCGGTTCATTCATGTCTCAACCATTTTCGTACTCATTGCTCTCAGTTTCCCTTTCATCTTCACACACACGGTTGCCATGGCGTCATACCTCTCCCCAGTGGGGACTACTCTCTCTTCCCTTTTCAACAAAACACATATTATCATCTCATTCTATCTATTTCTTCTTCTTCTTTTTCTACTACATGCTACAAAAATATAAGTGAGAAAAATTCTTGCTTACTTTGTTGTGTTTGATTTATAAGGGAAACTAACTTTTTACGTTATTTGGTTCAAAAATAACCTTTTTTTCTCCTGTTTAATTCTCAATATATATATATATATATATATATATATATATATATATATATATATATATATACATGCATGTCTAATCCCATGAATACTCCAAATAACAAGATAATTTTGTGTTTTAACCAATATATACTCTTCATTCTTGTCTTTTGCCTTCTTAAAGTGTATGGAACATGTTTTGCATATCACCCATAGCAAAAAAGCTTGAGAAAAAAAAAATAAAAATACAAACTATTTTTTCCTTCCAAAAGTGGTTGGAACATGTTTTAGGTATGACTCGGAACGAGTTATTTCGTCTAGGAAGTTTTCAATACGTGTAAAATGTGGAAGAAAAAATATATGTATGATATTTGAAATAAATAAATAAATAAGATGTAATTACGGTATTTTTCATCTTTTATTTGAAATATATACACCTCATTTTTTTCCCTTTTCTTTAATCGGTGGAAAATGTTTTAGATAGGACTCACGACAACATTTTTTTCCTTCTCATTCTAAAAAATTCAAACAATAAATTATCGATATTTATGTTGGTTGTTTTCCATAGATAATCCTCCCTCCATTTACATTCATAAACAAAGTATAAATGAATATAAACGTGAAAAATGATATTCTTTTATAATGGTGTTCTCGTATTAGGAGAAAAAAAAACTAAAGGAAAGAGATTACTTTTTCTTTTTTTATGAGAAATGCTAGTACTTCATCTGAATTGAAATATAAGAAAAAAAAGTCATATTTATTTGACTTAAATGATATCGTTTTAAAAATATCCCTACCGTTAAACTTAAATATCATTCTCAATCAATATAATTAAAATATATATATATATATATATATATATATATATATATA